TCGCAATGTGTTAAATTGATTATAATTTATGCAAAAATCATACCATAGGAATACAAGTTAAGATTGGCTGTGACACCGCTCCCAGATGTACTTGAATTTGAAATTTGATATGTAATTGAATTTTCTATCGGATAAAAATTGTGTAACAGACTGGTATATTTAATTAATGTGCGATTAATTAAATTATTTATCGGGTCCATAATATTGAGAATGAACTGCTAAATATTTAGTTGGGTCAACATAATAATTATAGAAGCCCAATAAATGTCAACTAAAGTTGAGGGAAACGTTTGGACAAACAAGTGCTATTTTGACCCAACCTGACAGAAATAGCAGGAATAATTGGGAGGAACTTCCTACACCCACTTGGGGTATTCTACAAACCCTTAACCTCAAATAAATGAGGAAGGGGACAAGGAAGGGAGCATGATACGTGCTAGGAGGGTAGGAAGTCTCCTTTGAGACAAAAACCCATGCTAATGTCCTATCTCACACAAATCATTTGTGTTGATTGAGAAGGCATCCTCTCTCAACCTCCTTACACTCATTCGGACCAAGCAAGGGGGATAAGGTCTAGAGAAAAAAGCTCTCACAAACAAGAGGCTTGAGGAAGCTAAAGGGGAGGTAATCCAAGAGGAAAAATAGCTAGAAGAAAGGTAAGAACTCAACCATTTCTTTAGCTAGTATTATTTGTGTATGATTTTAAGAAATCATATGGTGGGTTAAATGTGAAGTTCTACACGTTTAAAAGTGTAGAATATTGATATAAAGTGGTAGTATTTAACTTAGAAGAATCGTGGAATTGATAGGAGTTGAAATCGCCAGAAATCGCCAAGAATAAGCAGACTGCCCGTGTTGCAGACAGACGAACACCGCCCGGCTTTCACGAAAGCCGCCCGGCTTTCACGAAAGCCGCCCGGCTTTTGGCTGGCAGTCCACTTTTCCACTTTCAATCGGCCTAGAACGGGGATTGATCGAGGACCATAACAAAGGCAACTATTATAGCACACATCACAAGGAGAGGATGGCTGACTATATTGCTTATAATTAGTGAGTTAATTTCATGAGATTACCTAAGGTAATTAAATTTGTTTTTATTGATTATCAATGATTAATAATGCCTAAGAATGAGAAGACTATGTCTATAAGGAAAAGAACATGATATACAAATTTAAGGGTAAATTGTGTATAATCATGTGTTATGAGTATGATTACTTGATAATGGAATTAACTATGAAATGTATGTTGAAATATACTTTTTACTTCATATAAGAATATATGAATGGTTAAAAGTGATATTTTGTATATTGATATAAAGATGATATTTTCAATGGGAAATCGGTTGGGCATTTTATAAATGACTATGAGTGGAGAACTTGGTTTTGTTGGAATTAATTGGACTAATATTAGTATACTAGTTGGGCATTAAAGTGAAATGTTGCTAAAATTGATCCTAATTTTGGATTGTGAAATGCTATGCCTTAAGTAGTTTTAAGAGATGCTTTAAGGTAGGAATGTATGAACCTTAAGTTATACTAGGGGTAGGCCTTAAAGGATACCCAAGATAAAGTGAATAATAAATTGATCCTAGGTATAGGATTGGCCTACGGGCGTGTTCGGTAGTCCTAGGGGATAGCCGGTTAAATTATGGGAATAAGTAAGGACCATGGCCCTTCCCTACTCTAGAGAGCGGGGTTGGATAGCATGGACTTGCATCGTGATCACGGGTTAGGATGGAATCCGAACGGAGACCTAACTAGGCTCCGACAACGGTAACACATAAGATAGGACCCCGAAGGCCCTTACCTTCCTACGGGATGATGGGTATGAGTCCAGGGGCGGGATGTTGAAGTCCAAACCGAGAGCCCCGTGAGGTCTCGGACAGCGGTAGTAAATCCCGTAGAAATAATAAGACCCACGGGTTGAGTTGTACAAATGTTAAATGAAAGGGAATATATATGAAGGGTCGTGTGCCGACAAATAAATGAATTTACTTATTATAGAGATAATAAGTGGGAAATATAAATTATTATTTATATTATGATATCACCCTATTTGAGGGTCTTAGAAATTAAAACGTTGATTATACTCGGTATAGTTGTCATTGTACTTGTCAAATGTTTCCAAGTACTGACCTCCCTTCACGGGGGAGGCCACCTTACAGTTTCAGGTAGGAGTTGAGTTTGCTACCAGTGCGCGTTGCTTCGGGAGAGCCAAGGAAGGAAGGCGTGGTTCGTGCTTCTTCCGTTTCTGTTTTAAAAACATTTAAACAAATGCTCATGGATATTATTTTTCTGAATAATTATTTGGGGGCTTGCATGCCTAATTATGCCAAGTGTGGCTTGAACACTTGTAATAATGTTTCCGCTGCTTTAAATGAATGTTTTACATTATGTTTGTTTATGGATGTACTATGTGTGAATAATATTCAAAGACGCCTTGTATAGTATGGATGAGTTGGACTCTATTGACTATTTGTACTGTACGGCGGGTTGTTGACGTGTTCGGGTAGGTCCAGGGCGTGACATTGGCTATGTATTTTATCAATATTAGTTATATGGTTATGATCAAGGATAAAGATTTGTGAAAGTCAAAATGGAAACTTATAGTTCAGACACACGTATTATTTGTCATTAAAGGGCATTTAAATTGCTTTTTTTTGCAGAACAAGCTAATGCCAAATTAGCTTTGGGTGTTCATATAGCACGCACTATAATAAATCTTCCGTAGCAATGTTAGTGTCAAAGTCAAAGTGAGAAGCAGCAGAAATACAAAGGGACACGCTGCAAATCATGCATGATAAATTGCTTAAATTCATTTCTTTTATATTGATAGAACTATTAAGGCATTTAGACCACCACAAAAGATCCTTCCATCACAACTTCAACTTCTTTTGTGATACACATTGTCCAAATTTCAACACTAACGGGAATTCTTAGTTTTGTTTTACTGAAATTTTAGCATTTCCACCTGATGTTATTGATTCCATTTGATTGTTTTTGTCTTTCTTGTGTTAGCAATGATAATGCGTGAATGCGAGTGTATTTGAGTGAATAGTTCAATTATGAATTTGCCTAGAAAAGTAAGTGACTAAAAACTTCCTTATTTTGTTTATTATCCGATCCCTTATTTTTTATAATCATGTTGAATATAGATGTCTCGTGAACTCATTTTTGAATCGTTCTTTATCTCTTGGTTCGTGTCTCAAAAGTTGATTGTCTCTAACGTATATGAGGTATTTCCTTTCTTAGAGATATATATGTCTTACTTCATATTTATATAATAAGTACCAATTACAAAAATAAGCGCATTGCGATTATATATTTCAAAACAAATAGTAAAGAACAATTTTCCAAAACGCGCAATATATATGATAGTAATATTTGACTATGAGGCATATGGGTCTTCACTATTGGGACCATAGGACAAGACAATCTGAATTATAAGATAAACAATGATGATAAACTGAACCGTGGAGGATATCTCAATGAATTTAGTTCTCAAGGGAGAAGTTTTGTGGTTAGAGACTGGTTGATTGGGTTTAGCGCTTTGGACTTAGAAGATATTTGACTGTTATTATATATATACACGAGGTAGATGATGAAGTTTTCCTATGCTATCTTTGGAGGATCTTAACGCTATGTGGATTAATGCCCTCGGATCAAGGAGGAAAATTTACTCAATCATCCTCAGACCATACACATGACTTTCTTTTCTGGAAGAACCGAAATATGTTCTCTCTCATTTTCCCTATCTATTTTATTGTGCTATGGAGTTCCTATCTTTTATCATGGTATTGCATCAACTTTAAGTATTATATCATGTGAACATTGATGCGCAAGTGCTACATTTTTTGCTTGTATTTCTGACGGTTATCTTTAAAGCGACCTAATTGTGGTAAATATGTAGAATCGAGATTGAATCAGTGTTTAATACAATGAGCTCAAGATCATATCAATGGTATATAGTAGTTGACCCAAAGCACAACTCAAGTAAATGTAGAATTCCATGCTCATATTATCATATATTTCATCAACTCAAGCAAAATATTTCGTATAGTTTAAGAAAACATGTGAAAACTTAATGAATAAAGTAGAAAAAATTGTTCTTTCAAACAAAGAAAAAGTTGAAAAGCTGTATAAATACATAAATGTGTTAATATAGCATAACTCAGAGATAAATAGTAATATAAGAATAATTAAGTAATACAGAGTAAGATTAATGATAATACATGCAATACATCATGCTTATTGAAACCAAAAATTACAAATTGAAATAAAAAATACTAGTGATCTGAAATGAAGCAAGTGTTATCTCTCCAAAATTTTAGACTGAGATAACAAATATATTCATTTTTAAAACCTTCAAATTTTCCAAAACGTTATTTTTTAATCTGAATAACATAGGAAATTGAAAACGTACCTGCAAGATTAAAATATCATTTTGAGAATAGGGAGGACTAAAAAAGAGGAGATCAAATGTCCAAAAGTTTTAAGAATATTCACAATACATCTTGTTGAGTTTAATCCAACACCAATATAGATATATATTGGTATGGACACTCTGTTTTATGTGGAAACCCGGAAAGGGAGAAAAACACGAGACTTTTTAGGCTAATGTCCAAGCCCTCTCATTCTCATTAGAATCTCTTCACCATTAATTACATTGTACACTTGAGCTCCCATTAATGGAGTCTTTTAGCTAGTCTAGAAAGATGGAGGAAGAAAAGAGGATCCCCCAAAATAGGAGGGAAGCCCTCTATTTATAGCAAATAGAGGGGAGGGTGAAAAGCTACCCTAACAGGCCAAGTGGGCCGAAATGAGCCCAAAGGGCCAAGACAGGCCTGAATGGCTGAAAACGGGCCTAAACGGGCCTCACCGATCGGGCTCCGTGCCAAGTAATGTCTTGGATTCCTGAACAGTGGTAGGGCGGGATAATATATCTCAACACATCTTTTACTTAGCATGTCATTAGTATTACATGAATATTGCAACCAATAATATTATTACAATAAAAATAATGATGATGGTAATAGTTATTTTTAAAATTATAAACAATATCTATGTAATTGTGACAATTAAGTTATAACTAATTAAGCATTTGGTTATTTTCGACCATAGAGTAGCACCATAACATGATGACTAGTAGGAACAAAAGTTAAGAGGTTTGGATGTAAAATATGTGCATGTGAATGGTCATTCTCATATTGTGGATAATTTCTCATCCATATCTCATCTCTTACATGTTGCAATGTTAAGGATGGTGGCAGCTCTTGCCCTCTACATGTTATCTCTATCTGCATACATTATGCATATTATTCATTATCATCATAATTCATAACCTTAACCTCCCCATGAAATTAAAAAGAAAGGGAGAATCTTCATCATCGTATTTCTATGAATTTAACAATCATGTCATTAAGAGCACAAACAAAGCAACATACAGTAATGAACATGCTGTTGTTGTATATCCTTTTATAATTGATAATATATATATATATATATATATATATATATATATATATATATATGTTTTGGTTGAAATAAGAACATGATCTTTAGAGAGAAATGAGAATGAATCTGGACCGTTAGATTTGCTTTAAGTGAAATTCAATGTGCATTACATGAAATTAAACCGTAATGTGCATTAGGTGAAATTGAAATATGCAACACAAATGGTACGACACAGTGACATTATGTGAAGCTGAATTGTCCATTAGGTGAAATTGAAATGTACACTAGGTGAAACTGAAATGTGCAGAATAAAAGGTACAAAAATAACATCACATCGTACCTTTCAGTTTCACCTAATGCACACTTGGGTTTAAATTTTTATTCTGCACATTTCAATATCATCTAATGCACATTTCAGTTTTACCAAACGCACAATGTAGTTCCACATAAAACAATCCAACGGTCCAGATTCGTTCTCATTTGTCTCCTGGGAGTCTGTTCTTACCAGAACCGCTCCGTATATATATGCATGAATGTATGTACGTATGTACGTATGCATGTATGCATGTATGCATGTATGCATGTATGTATGTATGTATGTATGTATGTATGTATGTATGTATGTATGTATGTATGTATGTATGTATGTATGTATGTATGTATGTATGTATGTATGTATGTATGTATGTATGTATGTATGTATGTATGTATGTATGTATGAGAGAACTATTCGCATGTGTTCAGAGGAAAAAAAATTGAGGCCATTCTTTGACTTTTGATAAACACTAAACTAAAATACTTCATGAATCATATTAATGTGCTCTTTTACAATTCAATATGAACTATTTAAAAAAATACAACAAACCTTGCATGGGTTAAAAACTTCCATAAAATAATCAATCCATTAAATAAAAGCTAAGAAATAATATTAATAATATCGAGAAGGGTAAAATTTGATTAAGAAAATTCCTAATTATAGGATTAAACCATAGATAATATGCACAATCAAGACTATCGTTATTGTTTTCTCTAAAATAGAACACATTCATGATCAAATATGACTACCGTTAATGGGGGAAGTTCTGTAGTTTTTATTTGATGAAATAAGTCCTATTTTAGAACTAAAACAAAGCAAGTCTTATTTGTGCACTTTATCTATATTTTAGTCATATTTGAAGCAATTTCTTATATGAATTTGTGATCAATGGGAAAACGTGAGTAAAAAGCTAGACATTAAAATAATACTCCCTCCATCCCAAATTGAGTTGCATAATTGAGTTCTTGGGTCAAACATATTCATTTTATTCACTTAATTAGGATATAATTCTTAATTTATTTTTTATTTAAATTTTGCAAGTTTATAGACATTTTAATTTAGTTTATGAAAATGTATATTTTAATTATTAAAATTAGATTAATTACCAATAGGTAGGATTTAACATTATTATTGATTGACCAAAAAATGTTGAATTTGCAAAACAATTTGATCAAAGGTGGACTTACAATCCAAAACATATCCTATGTTAAGGGATTGAAGTTCAATTTAATAAGCACAAACCAACTCTGTGACAATGGTTACAGTGTGACTTTCTCCGAAGAGACAAAGGGCTTATGTGGACAAATGCTAAATTTTTCAAAACACTTTCATTCAATGATATTTGTTGGTCATACACAATGTTTCTAAAAGGCGCTAGGCGCTAGCCCAATGCCTAGCGGCTAGGCAGCCGCCTAGGTGGGGACTAGTTGGAGACATAGATTTTATAATTTTATCAACATTTTTGCATAAATATGATTAGTTATGTTGTGTTTGTGTGTGTAAACAATACACACACACATATACACATTAACATACATAAATAATAGAGTTGTCACATTTAATACTGCGTATTATATTATTCCTACTAACCTAACTTCATTATGTAATATGGAGTAAATTTTACTGAATAATAATAACACTTAAAATTATATACTTACACATGTACTTTTTATCTTAATCTACAACTAGTAGCTTTATTCATATGCGTTGTTAAAGTTAAAGTTACATACATATCCCTTAGAATACTAAAAAACAAAATGTTCAATGAATCTAAACGTCTAAGCGTCCGATTAAGCGCTCTGGACGGGCAACTAGGCGTCTTAGGCGGCCGACTAAAATTGGGCGGCCGACCACCGCCTAGCCCTAGGGACTAGTCGAGTGCCTAGAGTGGTTTTTAAAACAGTGATCATACATGATATCGACATGTTAAATGCATCGCTTGTTTCAATTGACTCGCTTTATGAATTATTTCATAAACAAGACATAGATAGTAATACACCGTACAAATTAAAATATTTCTATCCATTAAACTCATTGTACTTTAATATATTTAATGATATTGATGATATCATCCGATATCAATATATATACTACGTACTATATTTACACACACAGAGGCATTCGTTGATGAACACAAGACAAAATCAGGAAATATGTTTGAGTTTGATTAGTCATAAACTTGAAGTATTGTGGAAAGCGAAAAAGGCACATCACAATTCAAAGGAAGTAGAAATTCAGCACTTCAGGCACACTTTATTCTTGGACAAATGTCATTCATCGGTCCATAGTAGGGATGGACCCGAGTGGGTCCGGCCCCGAGCCGAAATTGCCCGGTCCAAAACAATCCCAAGGCCCGAGGCCCGAAGTATGCTTCTAATGTTTATCTTCACACAAATTGAAGATTCAACTCATTCCACCTTTAAAATAAGTACTCCTTCCGTTCCTATTTTATCTTCCAAATAGGTCTGACATACAATTTAAGATAGTGGGTATTGTGTGGTGGAGAGTTGTGCAGAGGAGAGAGAAATGTGTAACAAATGTTGTGAACCACAAATTCTTTGCTAAAAAGGGAAAGTCGAAGTTTTAATTCGAACGGACGAAAAAGGAAAGTTGAAAGTTTTAACACGAACATAGGGAGTAGTTAATGCCACTAAGTGAAAAATTCAAGGACGTTGAATTATCAATCCGTTGCAACTGTGTGTATGCATATAATTTTTAGGTGGATTCTATGATACCCTTAAGGTACCATACCTTTGTTCACATGGACCAATCAAAATGGTATATTTGAATTATTTAAATCTAAATTGAAAATGATGTAATAATTTGAACCAATCAAGTGAGTGGTAGGTATAATACCTCATTTTTAAAGGGGTAATTTGAGTTTGCACCCCATTTTATTGTCCAAATTGGACTTTGCACCCCATTTTTAAAAAACTTTGTTTTTGCACCCCAACCCCATATGAAACGACAAAAATGTCCTCCATCAAGAATATGTTGAAGGCAAACAAAATTGTTAATGGAGGGGCATTTTTGTCTTTTCATATGGAGTTGAGGTGCAAAAACAAATTTTTTTAAAAACGGGGTGCAAAGTCCAATTTGCACAATAAAATGGGATGCAAACTCAAAGTACCCCTTTTTTAAATGGGTACCAGAGTTGTCACCAACGTTTTATTCAATTTTAGAAGCACGCCATTCGTCTGCATATCATGCACACATGGCATGCCTGATGAAAGGTTGTTATTTTGAGTTTTTTAGTAACATCAAGATAGGCTATTAAAAGAGAAGGATAAATAAGAAGGTTTCCCTTAATATATAGGAGTATAATGTTTTATATAAAAATGATAGAGAGCAGAGAGAGTAGGGGCGGGGGCGGGGGCGGGCTTGAGCCCACCTTCGTGGACTGACTTTGGGCCATTTAATTAATTTTAATTATTCATTTTATTTTGTTTCCTAATTTATTTTGTTTCCTAGTATGATTTAATTATGACTTATATTCTTATTAGAATTAGGGGTTTCCTATTTCTATTAAGTTTCCTAGAATGGTTTAGTTAGAACTTCTATTCTTATTAGAATTGGAGGTTTCTTATCCATTTTAGTTTCTTAGTATGGTTTAATTAGGACTCCTATTCTTATTAAGACTTAGAGGGTTATTTAAACCCCTAAGGAGGGTTGTTGGAATCATCGATTAATAATATTGGAGTTTTAGGTTTAACCTTGGGCAACAGTTGCTAACTGTTGATTATTTTATTTTCTGTTTACATCAATTGGTCCGACCTGCAAGATCTCGTCCCTCCAAGATGACGAGATCTCATAATGATCGTTTGACAGAGATGGAGGCCGAGCCAGCCCGGATGGTGGCTGAGCAAGCCCGGATCAATCAGAAACTTGACGCGCAAGGACAGAAGTTGGAAGAGCATGGTGCCCAGCTCACAGAGATCGTGGCTTCTCTTGCTGTGATCGCGAAGGCAATGGTGCCGCCAGAGAAGATGCTGACATCAACCAGCGACATCGGCTCTCTTTTGCACGCCGCTTCTGGGCACTCAAGCGATGGAGGCTTGCGCAGCACAAAAACCACTATGCTTCCCTCGTTCGACGACAGTGACCCGGTTGGGTGGGTGGCTGGGGTGGAACAATAGTTTGAACTCAACGGGACCCTACCAAACAGCAAAGTACGAGCGGTTGTAGTTGTCATGGAAGGGGCTTCCCTCTATTGGGTAACATGGTTGAGACCACACAAATCCGGTGTGACCTGGGTGGGATTCATGCAAGCTTTGGTGGCCAGATTTGACTCCCAATTTTAGGGAAACATGTTTGAAAGGTTCTCGGCATCAAACATATTGGATAAGTGGAGGACTACAATACCCTATTTGTTCAATTGGCTAGTCAAGTTCTGGAATTGTCTGATGATCATTATTTGAGATATTACATGAATGGAGTAAAAGAATCCATCCGAAGCTCGCTACGCTTTTTCGAACTGCTAACTTGGAAGAGGTCATGGAAATAGCTCGCAGTGTGGAGTACAATTTG